TATTCGTGGACGGGGGAGCCAGCCACAGCCTGATCAACACCACCAAAGCACGGAGACTGAAACTGCCTTTGGACAGATGCTTACCTGAGATTGATGCACGATTGGTCGACGGCACGCTACTGGCGATACGGGAACGTGTGGTCCCAGTTTGGATCCGATGTGGGGGTAGCTTCACGTTCACCCAGGAAATGCTTGCAACGAGCCTCGACGGGACCGCCATTTTACTCGGCCATGATTTGCTACGACGACACAATCCGCGAATCGTGTGGACGACGAGTGACTGCACCGTGCGATTAAACGGTAACAATATCGCCCTACCCCGCTGGGGCTCGCCTGAGTCTTCGTCGGTGCGTGTCAATGCGATTTGATGAAACGCGCCGTAGCGGCAGGAGCTGACGTGTATGCGGTTGACATCCGAGAAGTCCCTCCGCTACGAGAGTGAGTGTATATTACGGAATGACGGGCTTCGAAGGAACACTTGCAGGGCAGGGTGGTTTTCAATGTTGGCCAGGGGCACCCAGCTGTCCTTGGTGGGGGTGCGGTCCTTCCAGCGATCGAGGAACTCAATCCTCCAAATTCCCATGGGGTGGCGAATCCGATGGCCAATTATTTTTTTTTTTCGGGGTCGACAATCGGCTCTGTTGTAGAACGCGACGTGGAACGACGGGCTGATGTACCAGTCAGTGAGTAGCGGGAGATGGGCGATGACAAGCGTGATCATGTGGCTGGTCTGGAATGGGACACAGTAGCGCAGGCGGTGGCATAACGTTCGGCGTAAGTTCTGGGTGTCGAGCAGCACATAGACTCCTGACTGGTACGTCACGGGGCGGCGGTGGCGATCACCATTGCTCATAGCGATAATATTCGCTTTCTTTTTTTTTTTTTTTTTTGCGTCTGTTGCGCGTGTTCGAGCAGCTTGCAGAATCTCGGCAAACTCTTGCGCACGTGGCGTGGAGTTGTTCGGGCTCGGCTTCATTGGCACTGTAGGTTTCTGCCCGTAGTTCAGGTAAATGGTGACTGCTGCATCGTGGATGACGTGGCGTTTTGGTAGGCGAACTCGATCAGCGGCAACCAGTGCTCCCAAGTTGTTGGTTCGTTACCTGCTCCATTGGTTCGTCCGCTCCGTCTTACTGACGGTCTCGGGGTGATACGAGCGGAGATCAACTCTACAATAGGGCAAGGCACGATTGTGAGAGTGATCGTAGCTTTCCTTGTGTTCTCTCTACGCACACATTCACGGGAAGAATTGGCAAGAGTTTCACTCGAGCAAGTTCACAACAATTGTAGCAACAAAGCTGCGCGTCACCGTCGTCCTGCATTTTTACGCCGCTCTCCTGCAGCTGGCCGGTTGATAGCAGGTTTACCTGCCCGCCCAGAACATAGAGTATGTTGGGGATGAGGACCTGCTTCCCTGCCCCCCCTTGCAGAGCAACGGTGCCGCGACCCTGGACGTCTTGCAGCGCTCCATTGAAGTCCCGCACGTGCTTCACGTCGCCGCTCGGCCCCAAGTCGACGAAGGCCTCCTTCGTCCCCATCAGGTGGTGCGAGCAGCCGCTGTCGAGCAGAACCACCGCCGGGTTCGCCTACACGGCTGCCGCCACCGCATGGAAGTCTTCGTCGGCCTCTGGCGCCAGCGAGCACGGTCGGCTCCATAACGCCTACTAGCGAGCACGACGCCTCCCCGTCGCCTCGGCCCTTACCGCCAGCGGAGGAGTCGGCGTCCTTCGCCGATGTTGTCGGCTTCATCGACTGCTTCTCCTTGCGCGACTTGCTCTCCCAACGTGGGCGACGACCAGCCGACCTCCCGCGACCTCCCTTGGTGTCGTCGTCATCGGACTCCTTGGGGTCAGGACACTCTAAGGGGAGGTGGTCGGGGTCGCCGCACAGCCAGCATTCCCGCCGTCGACCTTCTCCTCCACGACCGCCATCCCAAGCCGTCGTCCCATTGTTGGCTTCCTTCGCCAACTTTCTACCTCCGCTGCCACCACCGCCAGGTTTCCTGCACTGCCTCGGCCGACTTCCGTGCTTCATCGGGGCGACATAATTCGCCTGCGGCCGGAGCTCTGTGGACTTCTCGGCCTCCTGCACCGCCTCATTCGTGAGAATGTGTGAGGTCTGGGTGTCCTTGTTGAGCGACTCCTGCATGCCGGGCATCACCATCATCCTCCACATAAGGTTGCAGCCAGTGAGTCTGTGTTCAATGGGAAGAGGTGTGTGCTGTACTGTGGAGTGATAAAGCTCAAATCGCTGAAGGACTTGCTGCACCATGTGTGACTGTGAGAGTGTAATGGTGCGAGCAGCTCTGTCCCTGGTGATCTGCAGGCCAAGGTAGTGGCGCAGCTGGCCAAGGTAGTGGCGCAGCTCACCCAAACGAACAGCGACGGGTCGGTAGAAGACGACTCGAAACCAAGGTCAGACAAGGTAGAACGAAGGGTGTCGTGCCACTCACGAGGAGCCTGACGGAGACCGTAGATGGAACGCCTCAGCCTCCACTGGGTCCCAGGAGGGAAGGTGCCAGTGAAGGCAGAGGGACGACGCAACCAGACCTCCTCGTGTAGGCTACCCTAAAGGAAGGCAGTGGAGAAGTCGAGAGAGTGTAGCTCGTAGTCTCTCTGTGCTGCTACGTGCAGTAACACCCGAAGAGTGGTCATCTTTGGGGTAGGCGCGAAGGTCTGAAAGGATTCAACTCCCTCGCACTGACTGAAACCTCTAGCCACGTAGCGCGCCTTGAAGACCGGAGGAGATCCCGGTGGCCGCTTCACCCTGTAGATCCACATGCCATCGACTACGTTCGCCCCGAACCTTGTCAACGTAGGTGCCTGTGGATCTGTAGGAGGCCATCTCTGCGTCCATGGCAGCTCTCCACTGAGAGGCCCAAGGCCCTGACACTGCCTCAGCGTAAGTGCGAGGAGTCGGTATGTCAAGGGCGTTGGGGTCTCCCTCAGGGGCGAGCAGCATGGCACAGAGATGTGGGGAAGCGGCTGCCAAGAACTCTAGCTCAAACTGCCTGTCCTCTAGGGCGTCACAGCCAAGGGCAGAATCAACTCCCGACAGCCAGAGGACTGGTAGGAGGAGCAGCCACAAGAGCGGTGGCGTAGTCAAGGCGGCGAGTAGAGGCAAACTCAGTGACTGCGGCAGTAAGAGCGGAGACAGAGGACAGAGAGGCACGAGAGTCGGTAACAAGAGAGGCAAGAACACGAGAGAGAACAGGACGGTACGTGCGGTAGTAGTCAGTGACAGGAGTAGAGAGGGAAGCAGTGAGGGCCGACTCAGGAGGAGAAGGAAGCACAGACGGAGACGAACGAGGCGGACTAGGACGGAACATGACAGTACGAAGGTCAGTGAGAGGGACAGGGGACGAGGGACGAGCACGAGGAGAGCGACGAGAGGGCCAAGTGCGAGAAGGAGGAGGGGACAACGGAGGCTGAGAACGAGGGAAAACAGCGGGGGAGGAGTCAGGAGGAGGAAGTGTGGGATTGTAGACGGGAGGAGAGGGGGAGGAGGAAGGAGAGCGAGAGGGGAGACCGAGGGTCCGAAGACCAGAGACAGGAGGAGGAGGGGGCGGCTGCTGCTGCTCCTGCTGTGGCTGCGACCGCTGCTCCTCCAGCTGCGGCTGCTGCTGCTGCTCCTGCTGCTGCGCTGCTCCAGCTGCGGCTGTTGCTGATGCTGCTCCAGCCGCTGGAGCTCCAGTAGCTGCTGCGCCTGCTGCGCCGGACCCTAGGGGTCGCCATAGCGGAAGCGAAGAGGTGGGAACGCTGGTGGCGAAACCCTAAACTCCTGAAGGGCGTGCGCAGGGCGTGACAAACAGTGCGACTCGACGGGACAGGACACGACTGGCAGGGACGGGCGCGACAGGCGCGGACGGGCAGGGCGCGACGGACGGACAGGGCGCAGCGGGGGCGCGACGGACGGGCAGAGCGCACGGGGCACGACGGACGGGCAGGGCGCAGCGGGGGCGCGACGGACGGGCAGGGCGCGGCGGGGGCGCAACGGATGCGCAAGGCGCTTGGGGCGCGACGGACGGGCAGGGCGCAGCGGGGGCGCGACGGACGGGCAGGGCGCAGCGGGGGCGCGACGGACGGGCAGGGACGGGGACGGGCACAAGCACGCTGACAGCAAGCACGCTATCAGCAGATTTGGGGGGGGTTGGGGGGGGGTGGAACGGACTCGACGCGGCGGACAGGCACGACGCAACGGAAGGGACTGATGGGACGGGCGCGGCACGGCAGACAGGCGCGACGCGACGGATAGAACGGGGCAAGCGCAGCGGGCGCAAGGGTACGAGACGAGCGTGACTAACAGGAGGGTACAGGACAGGCTCGAGCACTACGAGCGTGAACGTGAAGAACGGGATCCCACGATACCATGTCAGAATCGAAAGTGTTGCATTCACAATGTTGGTTGGGGTACATAAACCTAACCTTAAGAGTTGTACCCCTTATGACACACACCAATAAGACTACAACATTTGACAAATACTTATACGCGAAACATGCAAGTAACGCGGTGCGTGCGAGCGACCTAGTGCTAGGCTGGCATCGAGGTTCGGGCTAGTCTCGAAGCGTAGGCCGACTCGGTCAAGCCAGCGGTGCATGGTTTGGTGAAACAGTGCGCGCGAAGTTGGCGAAGCCCCGTTAGCACTAACGGGCAAACAACGGCTGCTGCTATACGCGGTGTTGACGTACGCGATAAGAAATGCCGAAAAAATCCTTACACTGACAATCGCCAACCATGAAGAATGTACGCACCCTTTCTTCAAGGGCTGCATCCATAATGCTTTTCCGTTTCAAGCAAAAGGTTGCATCATGAAAAAGAGGTGACATGCATAAAGCATAGCTCAAGCTTCACATCTCGAACCACGCTATACAAGACGAGCCTACTATTAAAGGTATGTCGTACTTGCATGGCGATTGAGAGGGAATAACCTAAACCTAAGATTACAACTGCTGTATTTGTATTTGCCTGCAATCTGCAGAGGGCAACACTGCAGGGATATTATTTCAATAATGGAGCACATTTGGTAAAATGCTCATGATCTCATCGGCAGAGTCTGGTCGAAACGGCCGAGCAAACATGAAGCATGGCTTGGGTTGGCCATTCCATCGACAGGTTGTGGGGCTCTGTAGGAGTATTTAAAACAGTGGGTTTTGGCATCAACTGAGCTTGATAGTGAACACCAATGCATGGAGTGATAAACTTACAAAACCGTCTGGCGGCAAATAAACACTGCAAGCCAGCCAGGTGGTTTCTGAAGAGGAAAAATACTGAACAGTGGTCTGAGAACAACGCTGGGGGAAAAGGTAAGGTCGAGTGAACTTACGATAACTGAATCTGCAGTTTTATGGAAATATGTTGTTGCCTCCTGCATGTCCTGGATGAACCTCGAAGTGATGTTCACAGCACCGTACTCCACCTCCTCCCACTCCCCCACCCGCTCAAGCATCTTCCTCCGCCCCTGCCACACCCCACCATCCCCTCCCTGCCCCTCTGCTGCTCCTGCGCGCCTCATGTCGCCCTCCTCTCGCCGCTGCTGCCGCCGCCGCTTGCGCATGAGCTGCAGTGCCTCTTCCCGCATGCGAGTGTGCACAGCAGCAGCAGCGGTCATGTGGGGCTCGTGGGTGATGGTGAAGTTGGCCACTCCATCGGGGTCTACTGTCTGGTGTGATCACATGGGCGAGGGGTACCGCGGAGGGGGAGGACGGGGAAGGGCGGATGGATAAGCAAGCAGTCCCCCCTCACCGCAACTGGACCCTGGTTAAGTGAAGGCATTTTGGCTGTAGGAGGCATTTTGGCTGTAGGAGGCATTTTGGCTGTAGGAGGCATTTTGGCTGTAGGAGGCATGGTGGCTGTAGGAGGCATGGTGGCTGTAGGAGGCATGGTGGCTGTAGGAGGCAAGGGTGTGTATGCAAAAGGAGGGGTAAAATGAAGGAGGGGGGATGCGAGCGGAGGGGGCAAGCTGGAGGGAAGAGGGGAGAGAACAAAAGCGAAGGGAGGGAGGTGGGGGAGCGAAGGCAGGGAGAAGGGGAAGGAAGGGGGAAGGTGAGCCTACCCTGAGGAAAGTGGCGATGTAATGCTCGTCCGGTCGGCATGCTGGTGGGTGTGCTGCAGGTGAGGAAGCAGAGGGCGCCCCACTCTTGGTGGTGTTCCATGCTGCTGCTGTGCCCTGGTGACGTTGCAGTTGGAGGGATGGGCGGAGAGGAGAGGTGTGCGAGAGGAGAGGGATAGAGACGGTGAGAAGCAGGGTGGTTGGCGTGAGGAGATACATACAGGAGGCATGAGGAGGGCAGAAGGTGACGAATGTGGGGGAAGACAAGAATGATTTCGAGTGACGATGATGAGAGGAGGCGATGGGAGAGGAGAAAGGGGGTTGAGGAGGGTGAAAGGGAAGCGGGAAGGGAAGGAGAGATGAGTGGGGAGAAGGGGGAGGGGAGAGGCGAGAGGGGCGAAGGACGAGGGAGAGTTAGAGGGAGAGGGAGAGGGAGAGGGAGAGGGAGGGGGAGAGAGAGAGGGAGAGGTAGAGGTAGAGGTAGAGGTAGAGGTAGAGGTAGAGGGAGAGGGGAGAGGGGGAGAGAGAGGGAGAGGTAGAGGTAGAGGTAGAGGTAGTAGAGGGAGAGGGAGAGGGAGGGGGAGAGGGTGAGTGGGTGGAGGGAGCGCACGGGGCAGTGCAGCTTGAAGGCGCGGTAGAACATGTTGTCCGCCACGATGGCCGTTGCATGCGGTCGGTTCACCGCCACCCACTGCCACGCACACAAGCGGGGAAGGGTGACAGGGGCGTGATGTGGGGCCAGTGAGTGGCATGATGGGTGGCGGAGTGAGGATGGTACATTCAGCAGGAAAGCAAGAGATTGAGGAGAGCAAAGGGCGAGGAAAGAATCAAGCAGCTGACGGTGTGAAGCACTCACTCCCCACCATCTGTCGCGCAGTACCTTGGAGCTCCGCGCGAACTTGTGCTGCGGAACCAGCGGCGCCAGGCCGCGCGGATAGGCCGTCGGATCGTCCGCCCTGGCAGGAGGGAGGTGCGGGATGCGTGCGGAGGGTAGGCGGGTGTAGGAAGATCGCTAAGTTGAGATATGTGGGTACGATGTAAAAGGGAGCGACGGAAGCGTGGATAAGACGCGCGCCGATGAGGTGCGACGCTCGTTCATCTGCGAGGCTGCGGACTGACTCAAAAAGACGAGGGGAAATGCGGGCCTCATGCGACGACCGTACAAACGCGAGCCTCATTCGACGACCATAGAAATGCGAGGCTCATGCGACGACCGTAGAAATACGAGCCTCCTGTGACGACCGTAGTTATACGAGCCTCATGCGACGACCGTAGAAATCCGAGCCTCGAGGCTAGAGCCTCGAGCCTTGAGGCATGATCATGCGACGATCACAAGAGCTAGAAGAGTCTCGTGCGATTAGGAAAATGAAGCGTTCGACGTGGCGACTAGCAGAGTGAAGTGTGCGACGCGGCGATTAGGATTGTGAAGAGGGGTAACGCGGCGACTCACATGGCGACGAAGGAGTGGCGCGAGTGCAGCAGCGACGAGTAGATGCGGCTGAAACTCTCAATGGGGATGGCGCTGCGGAGAGGGACGGCCGGGGAGACGAGGGATTGAGGGAAGGGGAGAGGGAGGAGAGATGTGAGAGAAGTTGAGCGCGTAAGAGCACGGCGCGTGAGACGGGAACGACGGCGGGTGGCGCGCTGTGGCGTGCGATGGTGGCGCCTGCTGGCCGTGTGATTGCGGGAAGCGCAGCGCGAGTTGCGAATAGGCACGGTGGGCAGGCACGACGACATGATAGGTGAACGCAGGGACGAGGACGGGAGCGAGGCGGAAGCGCGCGAGAGAGCGCGGAACGGGAGGCGGGTAATGCCGCTGAGGAGGAGGTGGTGTGAGTGATGAGGTAGGCAGAATGGGAAGGGAAGGGCAGTGAGGCGCACGTGTGGTGGAGAAAGAGGAAGAAGTGGTTGTCGCGGTCGAGCAGCGCCCACGCCAGCAGCCGCCTCTGCGCATCCACTGTCGTTATGGCGCCCTCTTGCGCCTGAGGGAATGGGGGGGAAACAGGAGAAAGGAGACGACGATAAGTACGAGAAGCGCGGAGGTGAAGGGGCGCGCGGGGAGGAAGGGACGCACGGGGAGGAAGGATCGTGATGGGAAGTAGGGACGCGCAAGGCGGAAAGGACGCGCGGGGAGGAAGGAACGCGCGGGGAGATGGGACGCGTGGGGAGGAAAGGACGTGCGGAAGCCGATCCGCCCTGCACCCGCGCGCACTCGGCTGGAATCCACTACGCTCCGCATGTTGCTGTTTCGACAGGGAACCCAGCCACTCCGACCCCCCATCCATCATCCTCGCTTGCGCGTTCGCTTCCCGATCGCCACCTTGCCATGCTTCAACCGCGCCAACTCACCGGAAGGCTGGGGATGTCATTTCGTTTAAGGAACCGGCCTTCGTCCGCGTTATAGCGCAATTCGGTGCCGCCCGAGTGCACGTAGACAGAGAATTTGCTGTTGTCGCCCTCGCGCTCCACGGAACCCTTGAGCTCCGCCTGTAAGAACCGATCCCATACGCGCTTTAGAGGCAGGAGGCCTTGATCCGTTAGAAACAGTAGCGCTATTTTGGCGGTTCTCTTGCGGTTCGTGAGCGGATTTTGCGGAAGGGCCAGCACGGACATGGTTACTGCCTTCTCCGCCACGTGTCGGTCTGGAATTGGCCGCCAGTCTGTTCCCGCTGTTTCTACCCATCTTCCCGCGGAATTCCGCCGCGATTCCCGCGTGAAACGAAGTATGTGAATCCCGAAATAACGCGAGGCGTAATTTCTGGGATGCAAAAGGAGCGCGGCAGCTTCGAACGTGGCGAACCAGAGCGCGAAGGCGATGCCACCCGCTGCGAGGATGTAAACGATAGTCTTTAATCGGTTATCCCATTCCGTGGACGATCGCGAAAACGCAGAAGTGCTGCTACTGACAGGCGACCTGGTGGTAACCACTGTCATGCTGAAGTATCGTTGAACTTCTATGCTCTGTGCCAAGCTTTTGGCACGAGAACTTCGGGGAATGTAAAATGTGGGTGGATGCCGCTCAAGCTTCACAAATGGCTGCAACAAACGAGCAAGCGATTTCTGTCCAAAACATCGCGCCGCTGCTTGTGCCAAATTTCAGGCGGCCCCAAGTGAGGTCCTTTCTGGCACGGCCCGCTGCTAGTCTACGAAAAGGTCCGGAAATTTTTCGTTGTACTGGATTTGCTTTGGGGCGATTTGCAACGGCACTCAGCAATCCCCGCCTGGCCCAACGGCTTCAGCCAAAATTACAAGCCGTGCCACCCAAGCCCAAGCATTCCAGGCTTCCTTGTTCGAGTTACCGGATCTAGGTTGGCGAAATCTTAGCGAGTAACTGATGGGATGACCCAATCGATGGTTGACTGAGAGGTACCACTCAGTGACAATCTGAGGCGTCAGATCAAGTTCGACTGCAGATATACTGTTAGGCTATTCTTTACAAGTCTCGCCCAGTACAAGGAGATCTTATGAAGGTTGGAGAGTGCAAGGAATTCTTATTATTAACAGTAGACTCTGATTATAGGGGATGTTCCGAGCACGGCTAAAAATATCAGGGTAAAATGCCCTTTATGGCAGCCGCTTTTAGATTTGCGTAGCAACCCTATATATTTGGTTTCACATTTTGGGAATGTCATTTCAAAATTGATTGTTACACACTTTTTGAAGCATTAATTTCATGCAGATGCCTCAACACGTGAATAAACAATCACTCCTGAACGATAACAAAAAACGTGAAAGCAAATATGTGCGAACCATGAACGCATCCGACCATCCCAGCATCGTCGATTGATACGGCAGAAAGTATGATCAGATAACAAATTCTAGCATCAACATGTATGACGAATGCGATCATAAAAAATGAATAATAGAAACAGTCGTGCACAAAACACAGCACACATACGACAAAAATACAAATTGTTTTGAACATATCGAAGTGGATGCAAATATAAATCAATGCAGCAACTGAGATTGATGGGGCCGTTGAAACAGGGAACACACTCTGTCACAACGGCGATGACAACCCCAAATTGCATACACGATCCATATTAACATCACTCCTCGAACACAACACATTCACATTGAGTGAAACACAAATGAGTAGAACGACGATAGCACACAACGGAAGTGAATGCTTCAAAACTAATGCTAAACTGCATCGATGCTGCAGCAAAGATTTATGGGGTCCTTGAAACAACGAAAAAGCGCTGTCCCAACGATAATAACAACCTCCGTTACATACATGAGGCAAGTTAGCACAAGCCCGAAACAAGCACAACCCACAAACTCTTGGAACAATGACATAAATACGACAGATATGTACACATGTACGCACGTACAGACACTCGCAACAACCACACATACGCACACATTCTGACGCACATACACAGAAACACACACGTACACACAGAGACACACATAATGAGCATGCAAGCATCAAAGAATCGTATGCGAGTTGAGCTGCGTATGCGCATTGCTAGTCTGTCCCCTCTTCCTCTCCCTACACCCATCTTTCCCTCCCTCATCCCGCTCTCCCCCTTCCTCAGAAGTAAGAACCCCGCTTCTCCCAACCTTTCCCCCACCACCCCTACCACAACTATCTCTTGCTCTAACGCCTGCTACAAGAAAGCAGAACAGAATATGCAAACAGAACGCCCTGCACAAGAAAACAAAAACATATTATGTAGCTCACGTGTTCATAGCAAAAAGGTACTAATAAAGCATTCAGAAATAACGAATATAGCAATGATGACCACATAACTATTGAGAAAAAATCAATCTAATTATTCACACTGCCTCCTCTACATACGCTCTCTCCTCCCCTCACTTCTCTTTCGCTCACTCGCTCTCCCTCACTCACTCTCTTTGTCCCCCCTCCACGCACACTCTCCCTCATGTGCACTCAAACCCTCGAACACTTACGCTTCCTCACACACTCTCTGCTCCCTAATGCACACGTATACCTCTCACGTGCACCGGCAGCAAAAGTGTTTTCAAAACATCACTCGAATCCCCCCCCTCCTCGCATTTGTTGTTGCACATGCTCTCCCTGGCTGATGCTAAACTCACACTCACCCCTCGTCCGCCATCGCCCTACCTCTTGCAGCCACTCTTACTCAAACACTCACTCATCCCGTCGCTCGCCCTAACACTAGGCTGCAGCAAAGCCATAGGATTCAAACTTCAAGGCAAGTGCACTAAACACCAACAACCAGGTGGCACTAGCTCACTACGAAAGCGTGTCTCAGCCAAGCGTCCTAGAAGCCAACAAAACAGGTCGAAATTCGCAAACATTCAAATATTACAGAGAATGGTTGCATCTCTCTACAGAGAGTCACTCAACAACAGTCGTGGGCTAGACTACGAGGTGTTGGTACGTCCTCTAGGAGTGATCGTAGCTTTGCTTAGCTCCTTAGCCCTTGCACAATCACGGGGGAACTTTTGTCAAACATTGCATGTTTATATTGTGTAGGCTGTAGTGGGTTACACCTTAGGGGGTACACAAAGTTAGGGTTTCCTACTTGTACCAAACTCTGTGCTAGTTCATTTCATTCCTGCTCAGTTATTTCTGACATGGTTTCAGAGCAGGTCCTTCGCTAGGACTGTTCTTAGGGCCCACCGACTTACCTACCTGCTTACCTTCGCTTGTTTCCGGCCCCGCTGGCCCCGTCGATCTAGCAAGATCTAGCGGCCCTGCGGCCCCGTCGAAATTTTTTTTTTAGCGGCCTCTCACGGCCCCCGTCGCGTCGCCCCTTAGCGCCCCGATCGGCCCCGTCACGCCGCCCGCGAACCGCACAGCGCGCCGCGCTCACAGCCCGCGAACCGCCCGCGCACAGCCCGCGACCCGCCTGCGCAGCCCGCGACCAGCCCGCGCAGCCCGCGCACAGCCCGCGAACTGCCCGCGAGCAGCCCGCGACCTGCCCGCGAACCCCCGCGAGCCGCCCGCGACCCGCTTACGCAGCCCGCGAGCAGCCCGCGCAGCCCGCGCTGAGCCTGCGCGGCTCGTGCGCTGACCGCCGCCGGCCCGCACGCTGCCCGCACTGCTCCCGGCCCGCCGCTGCTGAGCCCGCAGCCGCCCGCGCACCGCCGCTGCTGAGCCCGCCGCCGCCCGCGCACCGCCGCTGCTGAGCTCGCCGCCGCCCGCGCACCGCCGCTGCTGCGCCCGCTGCCGCCCGCGTATCACCGCTGCTGAGCCCGCCCCTGCTGCGCCGGCTCTCGCTGCCGCCTGCTGCGCCTGTGCACCACTGCAGATCCTACTACTACACTTCCTGCTACTGCTGCTTGTGCGCCACTACAGTCTGTAGGCCCCACCGGCCCTGCTGACCCTGCGCACGCCTGTTCAGTGACTTTACTGCTTCTACTACTGCCGCTGTCGCTATGGCTAGTCCTCCTGTTCTAGCTTTCGACGCCGAGGGCCGTCCGGTCAAATTCGAAACCTGGCTAGATGATCTGCACCTTTTCCTACAGCTCACTGCCAAGGAAGATATTACACTGTACGACCACGCTCTCGGCCATGCGACCGCCCCACTCGCTACTGCCCCCCCAACTGAGCGCTCACAGTGGCAGACCCGTGACGCACACGCTCGCTTTGCTATTCGCAACTCCCTGCCGCTAGATGAGCGCGAGCACTTCGGCCAGTGCAAGACTGCTAAGGACCTCTACACAGCTGTAGTGGCCCGCTACTCCTCACCCGCTTCTGCCACACTAGGCCGCCTCACTCTCCCCTACCTGTTCCCCGACCTAGCCTCTTTTCACACTGTCGCAGACCTCATCACCCACCTTAAGACTAGTGAGGCTCGCTTTCGCGCTGCCATGCCTGATGAGTTCCTCGCTAGCAACCCCCCCCCGCTCTGGATCACTCTCTACCACGTTGTCACCCGCCTCCCTGACTCTCTGCGCCCTGTCAGGGACCAGTTCCTCTCTCGCTCCCCCACTGAACTCACCATAGCCCTCCTCGAGAAGGAACTGCTTGCAGCCGAGGCTAGTATCGTCGCTGTAGGCACCTCTCGTGGCGACCCCCGCGGCCCCTTCTTCGAGGGGTGCTCCCCTTCCCCCCTCCTCCCCTCTGTCGCCTCTGCTGCTGCTGTCGACCTCCTTGGTGCTGAGAAGGTCGGGACTGCGTCTGCTTCAGGCGGACGACGCAGGGGCAGGAGTGGCAGGAGTGGGGGTGGTGGCGGAGGAGGCGGGGGTGGAGGTGGTGGCGGTGGAGGTGCGACTGGAGAGGCTAGTGGCGGCGGTGGTGGAGGTGACAGCGGTGTTGGGAGTGGTGACAGGGGCGGAGGTGGCAGCGGAGGCGGAGGTGGTCGTGGCAGCGGCAGGGGTGGAGGTGGCCGGGGCGGAGGCGGAGGGGGTGGTGGTCGTGGAGGCCCGGCGGGCGGTCAGAGTCAGCAGCCTGCCCCGACCCTTCAGGCCGCCCGTGAGTGGTATGCGCGGCGCAGCGTCACCTGCCAGTACGTTATTCGTACAGGTGACCGCACTGGCCAGACGTGTGGGGGGCCGCACCAGACGGAGCGCTGCTTCGCCCGCCTCAACGATGCGTGGCGCACTCAGTTTCCTGGTGGGGGTGAGCTGCCGCGCTGGGCTGATCTGCTCAGGAAGGGTGTTGATATTTGGGCACTTGACTTTGATGCTATTCTCACTGCCATGTATGCGATGTCTATTAGTGGAGAGGGTGCTCAGTACTTGCGTGTTCCGCCCGACCCGGGCATTCAGGCCAGCCCTGCTGCTGCACTAGGTGCTAGTGTGTCTGCTTCCACAGGTACTACTGCAGCTGCTGCTCTAGGTGCTTCTGCGTCTGTGCCCCCTGGTACTGAGTCGACTGCAGCACTGCACACCTTCACACTTGACTCAGGTGCTTCTCGCTCTTTCTTTCGTGACCGCACTGTCCTTGAGCCTCTAGCTCGGCCGGTTGCTGTCTCTCTTGCTGACCCCTCTGGGGG